CCCCAAAACCCCAAAACCCCAAAACCCCAAAACCCCAGACTTAATTAGTTAAGTTGAATTTTAAAGCTTTACACTTTATCAAAGAGGCTTTCATCTTCTTCCTCTTCGCTTTCATTCATGAAGTATTGTTTTCCTTTGATCTTGTCTCTTACCACTTTGGCAATATGAGGAGTTGCTGAAGAGTGGGTGAAACAGAACATGGCAACTACATTGGCAACTTTGTTGCTGGCTGTCCACTCTCCGTTTGAGAACTCAATCCCTTGCTGGACAAGATCCTTGTGCTTTGTGTTGAAGTGCTTCTCAAGCTCAGCATTGTTATTAATGGTCCTCATACAGACTGGACATTTTAAGTCTTTGCCTCTGTTGGTCTTAAAGACTCCATGATCACGAGGGACTCTTCTAAAGAATTTTTCATTCAGCAGCTTGAACTTTGCCTCAGGAGTATTATTTAAGAAATTCTTAAATCTATGTAAGTAGTTAATGATCATAGGGTGGCTCTTGACTGTTTCTCCTGCAATCTCTGCCTCAATCATTCCTATATCTGAAGGTAACTTAGCCTGAGTCTGAGCCCACTGATTATAGGCCATAGATGATAGAGGAATAGTGTAAGATGGAACTTCTGTATAGCTCTGTTCATAAATTGGATGTTCATATGCTGACTGCCTCGAATATCTTGTATTTCAGAGCGATTGAGTTTGATCATTCAGTGGCACTCAAAACTGATTCAACCCTGATATTTGTCTGCCAGTCATACTTTGGCTCACAGAAGTCTTCATTTGTTGAGAAGGGACTTGAACCTGATGAACAGGTGCTTGCATCTGCTGAACAGACACTTGTATCTTCTGAACAGGCTCTTGAGTTTGTTGAGAGGGCGCCTGTGTTATGATTCCAATCTCTGAATCTGGTCTACTTCTAGACTGAGAACTTACAACTTCTTCTTTAACTGGATTGTCTTTAGATTTTGGTCTACCTCTAGCTTTAGCCATATTTTTAGTCTTTAAAGCATTTGATCTCTCTCTTTGCTTCTTCTTACGAGGTATGCTATTTTGAGAAACTTCAGATTTTGACTCTTCATTACAATTTAGCTTCGGTTGAGTATTTTTCATCTTGCCTGATTTACTATAAATTGTTTCAATCTGATATCTACAAAAGGGGTTTTGGGGTTTTGGGGTTTTGGGGTTTTGGGG